ATAATTAAACTCTAACCCTGTTGTCTCTCTGGAGAGTGTTAACTCGTGTTGAAGTCGTCTGTTCCATCATAAAAAGTTTTTCGGTTTAATCATCCTCATATGTTCCCTAAGAAACGGACTGAAATGTATTTAAATCATTTAAAATCTTATTGTTATTAACAGCCAAGAGCATATTTAGGTTCATAAATCTACACTCAGGTGATATTTCACATTAAAACAGTAAAACTTTGATTGGTTCAACAATGGTGTACCACAAGGCTCAGTCTTAAGATCCACCCTCTTCACATTCTACAGGTAGATCATCCCTATTCTTACATTTCTATGCTGATGACACAGTTGTTTATTGTCAAGCTAAAACAGTTGCTCAGGTTTTCCGACTTTTACAATCTGCTTTTGACATCATCCAGTCAGATTTGTTCCGTCTCAAACTTGTCTTAAACGCCGACAAAACCAAAGGGATGTTGTTTTCAAACAGGAAGTTGGTCCCAGCAGTCCTTCCCCTGATTTTATCTTTGAATGGTGTTCCTATTGAGTTTGTTGGTTCCTACAAATATTTGGGTATCTTGGTTGATTCACATCTCTCTTTGAAACCTAGTAAGGAAACTGAAAGTTAAGCTGGGTTTCTGTTTCAGAGATAGGTCCTGTTTACCTCTGAATGCTAGGAAACACCTTGTAACTGTGACTTTCCTTCCCTCCTTTGACTATGGTGACGTTATTTACATGAACGCTCCTACAAGAACCCTGCAGATGTTGGATGCTGTCTATCACGGTGCACTAAGTAACTGGCTGTGATTATCGTACCCACCACTGCACCCTGTATTTACTGGTTAACTGGACATCATTAACTTCATGCAGACTCTCTCACTGGTACATTTTCACCTTTAAATCACTTCTTGGTCTGCTGCCTTCATACATCTCCTCCTACATGTCACTGCATGAGTGCAGCTACAGCGTGCGCTCCCAGGACATTATTACCTGCAGTGTTCCCTCAGTGCGGACTGAACTAGACAAACGGGCCTTCTCCTACTCTGCTCCTGTTTCCTGGAATATCTTGCAAAAAGACCTGAAGCTCTTAACCTTGATCTCTTTAAGTGGCTTCAAACATCTGTTAAGATCCTGGAAAAAACCAATGCAGACATGTTCCTGTTTTTAGTGTTTTACATTGCTTTACGTTGTAGCTGTTTTGATTCTTTGTTTAATATCATTTTCTTTAACTTATTTTTCCCAATTTATAGCCTTTTTTTTTGTGATTGTCTACTGTTGTCATTGTTGTCATGACTCTTTGTTAAAATTCAGGTCTCTCTTTTGTTAATGAGTCCCCGAGGCTCAATGAGACCAACATAAATAAAGGTTGAATGAAAAAACAAACAGAAGCTGAGCTGTTCTGCTACGTATAATCGTTTCCTCCGTGAAGCAGTTTATGGTTTGGTATGAAGCGAACAGAAAGCCACACACCTCCTGAAAAGAGGCGAAGGAAACTGCTGCCGTTACAGATTTTAGGAGCCGATTTTTAGTCAACAGAAGCCAAAGGTGGTGGCATCAGCCGAACCAGTCTCTGCTGAGACGTCTGTGAAATTCAGAGCACGTTTCAGCAGAAATGAACGTTTACTGAAACTGCTCGGGGCTCTTGTATGTCTGAGTGAACCCCCATTATTTTTTAGGCTGCAGATGTTTTATTTATTTATTTATTTATTTTTAGTGGAGTCATTATGGTTTGATTTGTCTTCAATACAGAGTGACGCTGCCATCTAGAGGGTGACTTTGATGGCGTCGCTGACCAACTCAATGAAGCTGGCCATTAAAATGCACTTATATATATATGTGTATATATATATATATATATATATATATTTTTTTTTTTACTGATTATTTTGTTTTTGTTTTATTATATTTTATTATTCATTATACCTATTTATATATATATCTATTTCTTAAATTTTATTTTATTATATTTTTATCTTTATTCATATTATTAATATTTTATTATTATTAAATGTATTTATCATGCATTATACTTTTAGTTTCTGTATGTATTCCATCCATCCATTTTCTTCCGCTTATCCGGGGTCGGGTCGCGGGGGTAGCAGCCTAAATAGGGAGGCCCAGACTTCCCTCTCCAGCCACTTGGGCCAGCTCTTCCGGGGGAATCCCGAGGCGTTCCCAGGCCAGCCGAGAAACATAGTCCCTCCAGCGTGTCCTGGGTCTTCCTCTGGGCCTCCTTCCGGTGGGACGTGTCCGGAACACCTCACCAGGGAGACATCCAGAAGGCATCCTAACCAGATGCCAAAGCCACCTCAACTGGCTCCTCTCGACATGGAGAAGCAGCGGCTCTACTCTGAGTCCCTCCCGGATCTTCTCACCTTATCTCTAAGGGAGAGCCCAGACACCCTGCGGAGAAAACTCATTTTGGCCGCTTGTATCCGAGATCT